ATCAACTCTCTTTCTAATTCTTACGGAGAGTCTTTGGCTACCGCAAAATCCACACTGCCTTTCAACTATGGGTTTGATGGCTCCAATTGACTCCAGGAATGACAAAAACGCGTTATTATCATTTATTGCGTCTAAAATTTCGCTATACTGCATTAAGGGTGAAAAAATTTTTGATGAATTTAATAAAAATTTCATAAAAATTTTTTATTTAATACAAAATTATGGGGCGTCAATCGGTTTTTGGGGCGTCAATCATTTTTAGCTAGTTAGTTTTTTGAATGGGTCGCCAATCATGAAATGGGGCGCCAATCAAAAGAATGCCGAATATCATTATGCAAACTTCCTCTTCCACATACCAATCCACATTTTTGATACTTGTACTTTTTACAAATTTCACAATTTTCAATAACAATTCTTATTATTTCCCTAATTCCTTTAATCTTAAAGAATGGTTTTATTGTATAATAGAATCCAGTTTGACCTGCATGTAGAAAAAAATAATGCAATTCTTTAACTTTTAATTCTTTGTTATATTCTATAATAACTTTTCCATCTTCGTCTACATTTAATGGAATTGGTAATGTTCTAATACAAGTATCAATCTCTGTACTTCTCAATATTCTTATTTTTCTATACTAATCATATCAGCAAAGTTATTTTCATCATCTGACATATGTTTAATGCTATAATTATACTCACCTAGACAATTAAACCATCTACATAGCTTTGTCTCATTCATATTCTTTAACTTAGCCACATCTCGACTATCTGTTTCAATTTCAATATGCTTTCACCAAATAATTTTTTTAAAATGTTCTAGACTTTTAATAATTGCATATAACTCCTTTTTAGGAGTAAAGTAGTTTCTTTCAGATTTGTTCAACTTTTTATTATAAAGACCTATAATACCCTTACATTGTTGAAAAATACCTAAAACACCTATATTAAAGGCATCCGTTTGTAGTACAAAGTTTTGTTTAAATTTATTACTACAATTTAGTAAATTTCTTTATCGCATCGATTATTTTTACTTTTCTATCTTCATATTCAATATTCCAATGAAATTCTTTATTTTTCTTTTTAATCTTATTTTTTAATTTACAGGTAAGTTCACTGATTTTAGGGACAAATTGTCTATACCTATTTGCAAAACCTAAAAAACTTCTTAATTTTCTTTTCGTTGTAGGTGTTTTATCTTCTATTTCTAATATTCTTCCCAAATCTGGTTCTATTCCTTTTTCACTAGTTTTTATTCCTAAAAACATTACCTCTTTTACAGAAAATGACTTTTATCAAAATAATTTTTTATACCCTTACCAAGTATTCTTTCACATACAACCCTCACATGATTAAAATGAGAGTCATAATCTTTACTAAATACAAGTATATCATCTACAAACACTCTACAAAATTTTAATCACATAAAAGAGTTTCCATAGTTCTTTGGAAAAACTTTGGAGAATTAACCATTCCCATAGCTAAACTACAATATTCATAATGTCCTATTAGTAGTATAAATCTAGTCTCATAACGATCCTATTCTCTGATTTTAATCTGATAAAAACCTCTATCAATATCTATCTGGGAAAACCACTTAACATCCTTTTAATAGACTAATTGATCATCTAAATCAAGAAATAAAAATTTTATTGACTGCTTTTGCATTTAATTTCATAAAATTTATAACTAATCTGACCTTACCATTAACCTTTTGAATGACAAAACTTGGTGAAGTATATACAGACTTAATAGGTCTAAAAATTCCATATCTGAATAATTCAGGAATTTCTTTTTTAATTCTGGTAAAACTGCATAAGGTAAACTGTATGCTTTTAGTTGCATAGGTTCATTGTATTTAAGTTGAATTTCATGACTTATCTTTTTTAAATGTCTGAATTCAGGATTTATCATCTTAAAATCATTAATCATCTTATTAATTCTATCTTCTTCATTAATAATTCTCAGATCTTCTATAATATATTGATCCACCTCATTCTTTCATTTATCTGTCTATACTATTATCTCTAAATATCTATTATCTATTCTTATAAGTTTAGTTTTAAAATCTATCATCACATTATTTTCTCTAATAAATATCATTCCAAGTACCACCGGATGAGTTAATCCTGGGAATACATTTGCCTCAATCTTTTACTAAGTTTCCGGACAGGGTTTTAATGTTATGTATAATTCACATTCCTCTTTAAGGTGTATTTCAGATCCATTAGCCCATTTATAATTCTGTTACACTCGTTCATTTTAATGCCATTTTCTTCAACATATTTTTTACTAAAAAAGGTATTTTAGCTCCAGTATCAACAAAAGCTGTTATATCTTCACCATCGTTTATCTTATAGTTCGACAGTATTTCATCTACTTTACACTCTCCTTTTTTAATTACGTGTAAACCCTTATCATCTTCCTTTTTATCATTATTTTTCATTTTACATTCTGCAGTAGTATGTAATCCCTTCTTATGAAAATTACACCATTTAACTTTGTTGTTTTTATCTTATTTAAAATCAATTTTAGGTATCATTTTTATCTGATATAATGCGTTTAATTTATCTTCAATAATCATTCTTCCTAATCTAATAAATCCCACTTGCATCAATCTAGGCATGCTTTTATAAAATATCTCACTTAGACCCCCTTTGGTTAAATCTTTTTTTAACATGAATACCCTTATCGCTGAGTTGTATAAGCCTATTAAACTCTTGATAATATTCACGTATATTCCTTCCCTTTTGCACTTTTAATTTCTTCATATAATTGATGAACTTATCTGTGTTGTAAGAATTCTTACATAAAGCTTCCAAAGCTCTATCTAACTTTCTTATGTGTTCTATTAATGGTCAATTGCCTTTGCAACCTTATATACACAACTACCCATAATTGTTTTAAATCTTTTTGTCTATGTTAATATATCTTGATTGTCACTTCCTGTATACTTTTTAATCTTAAGTATTGGTACTGCCTATCTCCGATGAAGATAAAAAATTCTACTTTATCAACAAGCATCTCACGTACCATCCATGTAATCATTTGCATGTTTGTTTCTTGTTTATTTTTCACCGTTGCTGATCTTTTTATTGCGTTATAATGTATTGGAGACGTGTACATCTTGTTGAAATCAGCAGAGGATGAGTAAACAAGCTTATTCTAATCTTTTGCATCATCTAAGTATCCGCCAGTAGTGTTACCTGTGTCTATATCTATCACCTCATTATCTTCATATTTATCTTCTAAGTTGCCTCTGTTAATCTTAATTTTTATGATTTTAATAAACAATTTTTTTATTTATAATAAAAAAATTTCCAAAAACATGTTTACCTCAAATTTTATTTATGAAGTATTACGACAATAACAAAAAAATATTAAAATTTCAAAAAAACATTTAATTTAAATATAAATTTAGTATTAATAAATTCTAAAGAGTTAAATTTAAAAATTTAAGATTTTTTCAGACTTTTTTAATTTTTAATCATTTTGATTAAAAAATCTCTTATTAGTAAATCTAGATATTTGAAATTTTTTTATTAAAAATAATATGAAAATCAAATTAACTAAACAATGTATTTTTATTTTGAGTCATTTTATAAATTTAAAATGTCAAATTACCAAAATTAAATTTACCATTGTCTTGTGCGGTGGAATTATTTTTTCTTAATTTATTTACTTGCTTATTGTTATTCTCATTTTTTATAACTTGTGGGTTAAAAATTTTTATAACAAATAATAAATCATAATGTCTTTGTTATAGTAATAATAGTAATTCTACCATTTAAAAAGTTAATTTTAGAAATCTTTTTTTATTTTACTTACCATAAATAGATTATTAAGAATTTGTAGGAAAAGCAATATTTTAGCAAAGAAATTTTATAACCCATCGAAATTAAGATGATTGAAGATGATAGTAACGAAGTATATGAATTAATGAATTATGATAAACCTGAAAGCGTTGATACGTCGAATAAATTAGGTTATTCCAATCCTGCCTATGGCAGTCTTAATAATCAATGTCTTACAAGATAACCATAAAAAGTATTAATAAACATCTTTACCTGTTTTTAAGTTATTAAAAAACATCTTTATTTTTTTACTTTATATATTAAAACTCCTTTGTTTCAAATTAGTATTGTAAATACAAAAAATAATTTCTCGATAATATTATGCAACCTCTTTTATGGAAAATATAATTTTAGTTCATAATGTTTGAATTATTTTTGGCATTTATTAAAATAAAAGACAAACATTGTAAATAGTAATTTATAAAAGTTAATTATAATTTATGTTGAATGTAAAGTTTTTTAATTAAAAAATTTCTAATAGCTTATTTTATATCAATAAATGATATTTTATATAAAATTATTTTTTTAACAAATGATTTAAAAGTATATTTATAATCATTGCCTATTTTACTTAACAAATACTTTATTAAATTTTAAATGGGAAAAACATAAAAAGTTTTAGATGTTTTTTTAATATTAAAATTTTATTTAAATATATAAAAAATGATGTTTTAGTATTAATTTTATATTTAAATGTCGATTATGTTCATTATAAAAACATATTTAAAATTATTATTTTTTACTTTTAAATGTTTTATTATTAAAAATTATTTGTGATTATACTTTGATTTTTTAAAAAAAGGTTTCTTTAGCTTTCAATAATCAATTAATTTTTTGTAGATATTTTAATACATTTATTTTATACTCTATAATGTAATAAGCAAATTAAGTTTGGTTTAAATAAAAATTAAGATTCATTTAAAAATATAATAATTTAATTTAATAATCATAATTGAGCACTGGTTGTTAATCACAACCAGTTACCTTTTTTAACGTTCGATTCCAAATTAACTTATTTTTAAAACTTTCTTTTTAACTTAAAATATTTTTGATTGAATTGATTATAAATTAAATCTTGTTTAAATAAAAAGAGATATATTTTATACATATTAATACCCATTTAAATAATTGCTAAATTTCTAAATTTAAAGTTAAAAAGTTTAAAAAATTATAAAATAGTTTTCGAAGGCGATCTGGTTGTTCATCACAACCGGTTGCTTTTAACAATTTTCGATTCTTATTAGCTTATTTTTTTAAATTTTTTTAACTTTAAATAGTCGTTAATAAAAAATTAAGAATATAAAGTTAGTTGTATTAAAAAAATGATCAAGGGTAGTTTTGTAAAATAATATGAAAAAAATAACTTAGTTAAATTTTATTACGCATAATCTTTACTTTAAAACATATAAAGTAAAGATTATGCGTACTAAAATTAAAAATATCATAAATAATTATACTTTTAATCTAAAAATTAAAAACATTTTTAAAAAAATAAGCCATTTTAATTTTTCCACCATTTTTTGTTTTTAAAATCATTTAAGTAGCTTTTTTATATGGCAAGACATTAAAATGATATTAAAAAACTACTTATTTATGATGATATTTATTCTAGATTGAGTTTAAACAAGATTTCTATTAAAAGATATATTTCTAAAAGAACAGTACAGAGAATAACTGAAGCTTTAGAAATAATAGCTTAATTAGTTTAAAAAAAGATTCAGGTTGCCATACAGTATTAAAAATTTTATTAAAAATTTATTTAAAATCTTTATAAAAAAATTTATTTACTTCATGAAGGAAGTTGTTGAAAAGTTAGAAAAAGAATTTAGTTTAAGGGTTTCAAGATAAATTATTTTAGATTCTAAACTAGTTTGGGTTTTTTACTAATCAAACCTTGAAAAAACTATTATTGAGAGTTATTAACATTAAAAAAGATTTAAACTATGTGAAAGTTTTTTAGGAATGAAAAATGAGTCTCTTCAAAGAGTTTAATTTTATGATGAAGTAAAATTTAATCTATTTAAAAGTAATGGTTTCAGATGTGTTAGATATTCCTAGGGAGAAAGACATAACAGCAAAAAAATTGTACCTAAAGTAAAACATGGAAGAGAATTTGTTATTGTCTTGAGTGCATATCATTCCAAGGCGTTGGAAGACTAGTATTTATTAAACAAAATATTACTAATACTACATATAAAAAAAATTAAGCAAAAAATTTGAGACAGTCAGCTAATGAAATGGGTATTGATTCATTTATTTCTATATGTAATAATGATCCAAAACACACGTCAAATGTAATTAAAGACTGGATCAATAAAAAAAGAAATCTTACCATAACCACCTCAAAGCCCAAATTGAAATTTAATTGAGCATATATGGGTGTTAAATTCTGAAATAAATAATGTTATTGTTTCGGAAAATGCTATAAAAGAAAACTGAAGTAATAAGCCATAGTTTTATGAAAGATTTTGATTATAAAAAATAATGATTATGAAAGTAATAGAAGTAACAGTGAACTTTTATAAAAAAATGATTAAAAAAGTAATTTGAAGAAACAAGAACTAAAAGAAGAAATTTAAAGGATTTGGAATTCCAAAACAACAAAAATGCTACAATCATATATTATGAGTTTTAATAAAAGAGTTTTAGCAATTTACAAAGCTAAATACAAGTACGTTGATTATTAAATTTTAATAATCTTATTTTTTTTTGAACACCACTGAATAATTAAAGATGTTTATATTTTATATAGTAATTGATGTAATAATTTAAGGTATTTTTGTATAACATAAAAAAAATAATGTTTTTAAACTGCATTTTTATTAAATTACATTATATTCAATAGTTATTAGTATTTCTATTCTTATTATTTAAGTTAATGTAATTTTAGTGTTTATTAAAATATAAAAGAATTTGTTTTGAACTGTAATTTTTCAAAACAAATTTTTTTATATTTATTAGGTTAATTGTTAGTTAAAAGAAACAAGATATTACATGTTTTGTTTTGTAAAATATAATAAAAAATTATATTTTTTCACTAAAAAGTTTAATATACTAAAATAACAAATTTTATAATTTTTTAATAGTTTTTTAGATTTTAAATAAGATAAGTATAAAACTCTTTTATTCTTTTTAATTATAAAAAAGTTTAATTTCTCTCAAAACTTTTTTTTAATGAAACGGTAAAAAACATACAAAAAACTTTATTTAATTAGTCATTAATCATAATTTAAACTATCATTATCATCTTCTCTCTCAATTCCTTTGTTATTTTTTTTCATGTGTTATAAATTTTCAGTATTAATAGTTTCTTTATAAAATACCTAATTGTTTTTTTTAACTTTCAAAGTTACCACATTTTTAATAAAAATTTGATAGGAAACTTGAATAATTTTTTTAGATTAAAAAAAGTTGGTATTCATACATTAATTTTATAACTAAATGTTTTTAGACAAAAAATAAATTAAATTTTAACGAGTTTTATTTTTTAATAGTATCAGATTTGATTTTATATATTTTATAATTTAATAATATGAACAGAAATAGATTCCAACTTTAAAAAAGCGGGTTTATTTTTAAAATATTCAATTTCAATTAAATTTATTTCAATTTAATTGAAATATTTTTAAAAATAAATAAATATGATGTCAAAATAGACTGGTTTAGCACAGTAACTGGTTACTTTTTTAAAGTTCGATTCTCAATTAGTTCATTTTTTAAAAATTTAAATATTTTATTTTATATTGATTATGAATAAAGTTTGGATTAGATTTAAATCACCATTCATTTTTAAAACATTCAATTTCTATCAAATTTATTTTAAAATTAAAATATTTTTTAAAATTATCAAGTAACAGATCAATTATGCACTGGTTTAACAACAAAACTAGTCACTTTTAATAAAGCTCGATTCTGATTAATTTTTTTAAACTTTCTTTTTAACTTTAATTAATTTTATAAATTATGAATTAAGACTAGTTTAGATAAAAAGATAATTAGTTTTATAAATATTATTCTAATTTAATTTATTATTTAATTTGTATATTTTAATATAAATATTTAAAAAAATAATTAAAAAGGTAATCAATTGTACGCTGGTTGAATATAAATACCGGTTACTTT